AGATGACCCTATAGCTCACTGGCGGGCCATTCACTCTAACTTTCTTCTGTTGACTTTAAAACGTGCGAGAGGGCAAGACGGACTCTGGCACTGATGACAGGCTTACATGACGATTACAAACTGTACAGCATTATTTACAAAAGCATTTCTGTGGGTTCATGAAAACTAGATATAAAATTGTGGAAGGAGGTAAAGAACTGAGGTTGGAAAGGGCTTGGGTGGAGGTGCAAGGGAGGGTGGGCAGGGAAAAGTGGGAGAGGAGGTTTATGTCTGGACTGATTTATACTTGAGAGAGGTCATTTTACATCTCTGGGCAATTCGAATGAAGGCAAAACACTTATATTTATCAACATTTATAGCTGATGATCAGAGCAGGAAATGGTGCTCCAGGGCCTGAATGTAAGAGGTGCTGAGGAGCCCCATCTTCCCTGAAGCCACCGGGAAACACAGGTATGCAGTACCTTGCCAGGCCAGGCCCAAACCATGCAGCTGCAGGCCAGATAAAGGTACCCCACAGATCTTATGTAGTTTTGATCCTGCAGTGCTCGGTCACTGGCGCTCATGTGAGTTCAGACTGGGTGTGAGATCAGCTCCTAAAACCTTTTACTGCTGAAACTGGACTAGATGCCAACCACTTCTTGCCAGAATTCACCCAAAGCAACTTATGCCCTGCTCTACCAAGCGGCAATTGTTTGGAGGGAGATTTCATCATTCAGAATTGATTTTTAAGGCAGTTTTAAAAGTATCTCCCCCTTTTATTTTTTGTGTGTGATGCAGCAATGTTTGTCAAAGAGATATTTACAATCTCGTTCCTCCTCTGAAACCTTCCCACATTCAAACTGTCAAGGCTGAATAAGCCTGAAACAATCACTTCTATGAGCAATCATAAAGTTGATGATGTTTAGATAGTATTGGCTGCCAGTCTACCTAGGTGCTTGCAATGGGAGCAGACTGGCTTCAGATGCTTAAAATACTAGAAGCATTACAGCCTGTTTGGGAAGGAACTTGCATTTTGCCTGGCTGGGCAAAATGCAACAGAAAAACACATGTATTTAATCATCCAAATGATGAGTCTGCTGAATAGTGTCTGAGTTTGTGGGTCTGTCTTGAATAGGAAAATGCTTTGGAAAGGGGCTGTTTGAAGGCTGGCAGAAAAAAAACCTGTTGTTGTGTGGAGTGTTGCCTGCTCTTGTCTGGGCTTGCCCCGCTCTGCTGGGCCTGGGATGCAGCTGCTAACCCTGGCCTGACATAAAGGCTGGGCAGAGCGCTGTGAACTTCAGGCTGTAGGAGTGGAGGCTGTCTGCATGAGGTGGGGTAGGAAAACAACCGCATGGGAGTGTGGAGACCAGCTCCCAGTCATGCCTAACTAAGCCCTTGGTAATGCTAATGAAGATTCCCTTATTACATCAGTCATTGGTGCTGCTCCTCTCCAGTAGCCCTTTAGAAAGGGACTTGATTAAGTTGCTTAATTGTCTCCTGCCACCTGAGATCTCTGCCATCCAGATGGGGCCAGCAGCTGTAGCAGCAGCCCTGGGGAAGAGTTGTGCCTTTCTGGACCAGCTGCTGCCGGCCAGGCAGAGTACTGTAGGGGATCTCAAGTGGCAGTAGATGCCCACATTTAGGCAACTGAGTCGAGTCCTATGCCCCTAAAGAAGGCCTGTTTTTTATGCTCAAGTGTTAACAGTTAAGTCAAGCCCCTTGTAAGGGGCAGGGGAAGAATGGAGGGTTTAACTGGAACACTAAAGTTTATATCAGAAGAGGTGGGCTTTTTTTTCATCCCAGTGTGATGCTACTGACTTCTCTGAAAGCAGTTGGAGCCCAGTCTGTCTGCAGTACAGGACACCTCTTTCTCGGCTGTGCTTCTGCCCTTGCCCGCACCATTTCAGGGTGCTTAGCAGCAAGGTCATAGTGGATTCAGCTGTCCAGAAACAAAGCAGCAACACTGAGATCCCATTGGAAATCTGGATCTCTGGGCTTGCTAACCCGGGATAAAACTTTGAGAACTTTGCAACATTTAAAAAGAAGAAAAAAAGAAACCCTATGCGGGTTGGAATTTATATTTCTTAGGCTTCTTTGGGGAAGAAAATAAATGGAGAAAAGATGTCATAAAACTTTTCTGGACTCAGCTCTGTTTTCCACCTTTGTTGCATCCTCATGCTCTCCAGCCTTGTGTTAGCAAGATGGGAACTGGGGCTTATGACAGCCTGGAATATTTTCTTTATATGCACTATAGTTTTAATTATGGGAACAGATAAAACCTCACCACTACCAGCAGACCCCGACTGGATTCTACTTATTTTATCAACTTTATCGTGCTCCAAATTCATCATTCAGTGTTCCTGTCCCCCACCCCACCCTTGCCATGGGGACAGTCACAACAGGACCGTGCATGTATCTTAGGATACTCAGCGCTGTCTCAGTTGGGCTGCTTCAGTTCAGCTCACTGGACCAGCAGTTTGGGGTTCTCATCCGTGCATATGAAGCAAGGCTTCCAACTTCATCTGTGAAATAGGTGACAACCCCATGGGCTTGTGGTGCCGTCACCTTGTATGATTGTGTCTGTGTGCAAACACGCATACATTTCGTACAGCAATCTGAAACCATCAGGCAGAAAAGACACAGGAGCCTGGCTGAGACCCATACAACTGTTATATTGGCGTCAGTCTAAAGAAAGCAATGATACATTGCTTTGGAAATTATCAAGAAATGTAAAAAATGCATTTGCCCTTTTTTTGTTGTTGTTGTCATAGTCATCAGGGGCAGGGTTCTGAGTCAGAAAACAAAGCAGAAATAGATGCGATTCTGTACATGGCGCCTCTCTGGCTGTCCCTCCGTGCTGGGGTGTGGTGAGCAGGGTAATAAAACAGGTGGGACCCCTGCAGTAGCAGCAGCATCTGCACCATCATCGTTCACATGTCCAGCTGAAGAGGCAGGTGATGCAGAAAAGGTCTGTGGATAATGAAACTCCAGCTCTGGATCACAAGTTTCACTTTCTTCCCCTGCATGTCAGCCACACAGAAATAAGGAGGAAAAAAACAAATGCCCCCGGTGTGGCTGGCCCAGTACTGCCAGGAATCATGAGCAGGAGTGATACAAGGAGGAGGTTTGTTGTTTTATAAGAAACGTCTTTAGTCTGCAGCGTACTCTTGCAAGTCAGAGATGCTTAGTGGCAAACAGCAGATCGTTTTCCCCATTCTTTCCTTCCATGCCACTCCTCAGCCATCAGTTCCTTCAAAGCTTCCATCCACAGCACAGTGATCATACCCACCATCCACTCCCATACACAGGGAAAGAAGGACATTCCAGGAACTAAACCTGCCCCTGCCTTTCCATCATCTGCCTCACCTGAAGGAGGCAGTAGGTCTGTACTCAGGCCTGTCACAATGTGCACACTGGAAGTACCTCAAATGAAAAAATAAATAAAAAATGCTGCCCTCCCCAGAAAGAGGAATTTGTACAGCCGGCACCAGCAATTACTAAATTCAACACCTACTCCTTAAACCGCAACAGTCTCTGCTGGCCACATGTTTTCCACTCTGCAGGACCTAAGGGGTCTTCCAGCACAGAGCGGGGTTTTCCCTGGTCATGGCAGGCTCTGACCCCTGAGGCAGTCACAGCTTTCACTGGGAATGTGTGGGGCATAATCCTTTCCACCATTTTCCTTCCTGTCAAGAAAAAGCCTAAAAGCTGATGGGGCTGTCAAGCATCCAAACAAGCCAACTGCCACCACTAATTTAGATTAGTACTTTGTTTCTCAGGAGCAGAGAACACTTCTGTCTCCCACTGAGAGGGTCAGATGGACTTTCTAGTGGAGAAAAGTGAGATAGGGAGCCCTTACCCTGATTTCATTTTCAGAAACAGCCAGGCACAGCATGAGTTCCTTTCGAATAGCTTTGGAGAACACTGGCACTAGCAACAGCAAACTCTTCAAGGGAGACACGCTTCTGTACCCATCTCGATACAGGCATGAGGGATGGAAAGGATGAGATTAACTGACATCAGCTGGTTGCTTTCTCCAGGGAAGGCTTGCATTAGGACTTTGATGCCAGATGGTTGTACAAATGGATGCATATTTCTCTACTTTAAAAGGATTCGGTATTTTTTTTTTTCTAGGGTACCTTGAGCTGCTACTGGCCAGTTCAAAATGACACTGAAAAAAGTACATTGTCAAAAATACCCTTTGCTATTTCTGTTTTATGCCCAGAGAATCAAGAACAAAAGAAAGGGCATTACAAAAATAATGTAACCAACATACACAATGAATGATGCTCTCAGACATCTGCAGAAGCTCAGGATTTGAATGAAAGTTTAGCTCTGACTCAGATTACACCTCCTAGCTCAGCACTGATCTGCAAGTTTGTGAATCATCTCGAGAAGGGAATAAAAACAGCATCAGTCTAAATGAAAACCAGTTGTATAAAATCTAACGGTACCTGCCTGGTTTTTGAGCCTCTTTCATGGGTTAGGGTCAAGAGACGTCCACACTCACTTAGTAGGGAAATATGGCTGGGACATGCTGTGCCTTCGGATGTTTTGTGATTTAGAATCTGATCTATCCACTGGAGTCTGGGAATAGGGATGGGACAGTGCACAGGAACACACAAAAAAAAACCTACTTCATATCTGCATCTTGGCCAGACTGCAGCAATTCTCCTAAGCAATGATCCAGAGCTCTCTCCCTCACTTAGCCTCTGCTTTCAGCCCAGACCAGAGTTAGATAACTTTACTTTGCTAATGATTCTGCCTCTTGCAGATTTGATTTTCCCAGGATCCTGCTATAATCAATCAGGGTTAGCTATTTAATAAATTGAAAAGCTGACTTTTTCCTCCACTCCTTGAATTGCTGGTGCCAGCTGAGTACATAGGATGGATCTAACAAATGGGCTTGGGGCTCTTGCCACCCTCGAGTGGGACGAGACCTTTAGGGAAACTGAGCAAAAGGAAAGAGAACAAAGCCTGAAGAAAATGTCCCGGTCTCGGGAAGAAAGATTCTCTACCAATAAAGTCAGCGTGCATGTTTAAAGGGGGTGAGGAAGAAGGAAAATGAACACAAGATATGCAAAATCAGTAACGTTCAACCTGTCAGTGGATTGCAGAATAGTTACTTACACCAGGTACACTTTGTTCATCGTACAAATTAAAAAAGGAAAAAAAATAGTACCCCTTTCCCCAACCACACGTAGAAAAGCACTTAAAAGTTCAAAGGTAAAGCTTGGCACATTCCAAATACGAAATGATTCACTTGACATGCAGCAAAATATACAAGAAGTGGTTCTTTTTTTTTTTTCTTAAACAAACTTAATTTCAATTCATTGTCTTTGCTTGGCACAACTGCAATTCATTTTTAAAAAAATATTTGAAAAATACTGAAACTGACCTGAATTCAAGTATAGCGGTTTCTTCAACAGAAACATTATCAATGCAATAAAACATCACACGGAATATATTGAAGCGTAACGCCTTCTGGTTTGTATTTTTGTTTGTTCCCCCCCCCCCCCAATTTTTGTTTTCTATACAGTTTTAATGCCAACACAACTTACAATTGTATTTTAAAATTAATATTATTGCATTGTTTTTGCATATCTTGTGGAACAGAAAATGCAAAGTTACTGATTCCCCTTTCAAAAGCAGAGACAGTGGTTTGTTTTTGCATTCAAATGGCCCCAGATACAGATCTCCTGCAGTTCAAACCAGGATGTGGAGAACTGCATGCACTTACACACACACACGCGCGCGCGCACGCACAGTCACTCTGTATTGCTCCCACACGCACAGATATACTTAGCACTAAGAAGAACCCGAATCAGTCACTCAAATGTGCAAGACTATATCAAGTGCATTGCCTACTATCTTTAAATTATAAAACAACAACAAAAAAAGGAGGTTTCAATTGCTAGCAAATAAAATTACGAATTCTTGGTGTACATAATGGTTGGTAAAACTTGTCTATCATTATACTTCTACCAAATTTCAATGGAGAAAGAAAACCCGGTTTAAATAATACAACATGATCAAACCAATTTAACATTTGCAAAAGTGAAAAGAAACCAAAACAAAAAGGTAGGTGATTACAAAACCTTGTAAACACTCCCTTCTCCCTCCAAAAAAATTTAAAATAATAGTCAAAATAAAAACTGCAACATGCTTTCAAGGAACTATCAAACTGCAAAACAAAGAGAGATCTACACAACCCCACCACCACCACCACCTCAGCAAGTGCGGGGCAGGTCGGCTCAGCTCCGCCGCAGAGCCTGCTCCCCGCTCTCCCACTGGCTTGCACGGCTGGCTGTTAGAGCTCTGATTGGTCAACAGGAGACTGCCTGAGCTCGGATTGGCTGGCAAGTGACTGCTCGAGCTCTGATTGGTTGGCAGGAGACTGCCTGAGCTTGGATTGGTTGGCAGATTCTGCTGCCTGGGAGTCTTAGCAGGGTCGGGCAGCGCTGCCACCTGCCCCTCAGGCTTCTTCTGCTTCCTCCTCCACTTCACGGTATGGGAATCCACAGCAGAAGAAGTCTTCCTCTCCTTCCGAATCAAAGGGCCTTGGCTTTATGGAGACGGTGAGGCTCATACAGAATATGTGCAAAATGATTTTTACAAGCAAAGTTGAAAGACACCCGTTTGACGCAGGGTCCTTTTGGCTAGGGCCATCCACAGGAAGCTGAGGTTCCCCTATGCGCTTGGGAGGCAGCCGTTCCTTGTGCAGGGACTGAAAAAAAGAGGGAGCTGGCTCTCCTGCTCTTCCTCCTCCTCCTCACTCTTCCTTCATGGACACATGCTGGGGTTATATCCGCTCCTGAAAAGCTTTCTTACACCACCCAACTCTGTGACTCGTCCCAACAGAAATGAATGAAGAACGCTGTTCCGGTTACTCCAGGTCACGAGAACAGTGAGGCACTTCTGAAACAAACCCATTAGGAACATTGAAACAAATAAAAAACCAGCATCGCTTCCAGCCCTGGCAACTACAGGCTGCTGATATAAATCCTGCTGTCCTTGAGCTCTTCCTGACTTATTCTACAATCCGGGTTCTGCACCTCTTCCTCTTCCTCTCCTGCACTGTCCTGCCCTGGGTCCCTGCAGTTAACAAAAGGCAAGAGGTTGCCATTGGGGCTCTGCTTGCTGTTACCATTGAGAATGTTGTCTGCTGCATTTTCCATCTCTTCTATCGTCATGTCACAGGCATCTGCGAGCTCCTGGGTTGTGACCTCAATGAACTTTGGATCTTGAGCAAACTGCATCAGTCCTTCCGAAATCAAGACCTTCGAAAGCAGGTAGGGAATCAGAGACAAAGACAGAAGTTAGTATCCTGCATCATCCACCTCTAACACAACCCCTTTACCACTATTTAACCTAGTAGTCCCTCTCTTCCCATTCACTCTGCCAACCCCTGCTTGGAAATGTGCCCTCCTATGCTTGGCATTGTGGGCAGCAATGTATCTGTTGCCCTGCTCTTCTCAGGGCTGTGTTTCTAATAGGCCTTGACACTGCTCATGTCCTTTTCAACTCTGCAGTCTTACCGCTTCAACCAGGCTGCCAGCGCTGCCATGAAACTGCCTGCTGCTCCCTCCGGTCTGGCTGGGGACGGTTAGGGAGACCGGCCTGGCTCTCCTGGGGCTGCTACAGCCAGTGTTGTCAGGATACTGAGAGCTGCAGTGTACTGATGGGAAGCTGCTGTTGAGCTTCTCGCTGGACTCTGCTCTGTCCAGGCGCAGAGTTGGGATGGTCTGTTGTGGCCAGCCACGGTTGCAGGGTGTAGCGGGAGGCGTTGCACACAGCCGAGAGAACATGGTGGGGGAATGGCTTCGCTGGAGCAGGGGACTCAGGCCGGCCACTGCTAACGCCTGTGGACAGAGGAGGAACAAGACAAGTGTGAGCTTGCTCTTAGCAGTAGGGCTGGAACCCTCATTCTGAAGGCTCTGCAGAAACTACTTGAGAAAGGCCTGGATGGCCTCAAGGCTCATGAAAAGAGCTGCCAGTTCCTGGAATGGTTTAGGTATTTGCTGTGAACTCATTTTGCAAGCTTTCCTTTAAAGTGTATCTTGTGCTAGTGCCGAGCACCAGATTGAAAACTTTCATGACTGCAGTTCTTCAGCCTCAGAACCACTGCACTGACAGGAGGGATGCAGCCCTGCTCCCTGCAGCCTTGCCAGAAACACCACCTCTTCTCCAGCGGGTGAAACAGCAATTTGTTTTCCCACCATTGCCACCACCCATACTGCTAGCTATTACTGCCAATTGATGTGTTTTCTGTTAAGTGTCTACTGTGGAACCTGAACAGTACCAGATGTGAATTTTAGATATATCTGCAGTTGGCAATAACTCAAAAATCCACCACTGGATTTTAAGGCATCTGCTGTTGGTGGGAGGATCAATACCTGATGATTATACTTCGAGTCATCCAGTCCTTCCTGTAATCATATACACAACCTCTGAGTCATCCAGACTCCTTTTATAACAAATTTCTCAAGAAGCCTGCTGTTGCACAGGGCTGATCTGATGCTTTATTCATGTGACTGCTGCCTTGTTCCAGAAGGAATACAATCAGAATCATAAGGTCATCTCACAAAGCTCACTGATGCCTAGTATAAGCAAATGAACCAATGCATAGGCAATACAAAAGCATGTGGATTATGTTGCAGGGGATCCTTGTTTGGCTTACCCAGCTGCAGCTATCTGAAGGCTGTATGTTTAGCCTAAGTTAACTGTTTAGAGAGACACAAACAAGCCTCCTGCTTCTTTTTGATACCTGCCTGAAAATGCTATGTGGAGGATGAGACTTAGACAAGACCTGCCCTTTGGGGATGCTCTTTCCCTCTGCTAAGCATAGTGGGACTGAACTGACCAGTTTAAATTAGAGAGCTAAATTGAACGTAGCTGAAGTTAAGTAAGGCTGAGTCCATCTGCCACTGAAATCATTGGGAACTGATAACCGTGCTATGCTGATGGTTTCAGTGACAGATGAACAAAAGAATTGCCACCTACAAGGTTCACTGAATTTCTCAGGAGTTAGATGTCAGACATCTATCAGATTTCAGTGAGGAAGAAAGCCTTTAAAAACTATGCTGTAAAAGTCATGCTCAGCAGGCTATGATGGCCTCAGCACATCCCTTAAGCTGCCAGGGCTTCAAGGAGAGCCATAGATCTGTCAGGCAGGACAACTAAACTGGTTTTTCAGCTTATTGGCTGAAACATATACAAGGCATTTTGGCTAAAATGTAAGGTTCTGAGGAAGTTGAGGGAAGCTCTTAGGGACTGCTTTGACCTTCAGTTACATATATTTACATATTATAATGAGTATTTTGTGAGAATGCCTCTTCAAGCATTCACAGCAACCAAATCCATTGTGCTTAGCAGAGGCAACCTTTCCACTTTATGTTCTTATTTTAAGCACTGTTGGAGGCTAACATTTTTGTAACTATATGAACACTGCTGAGTCTTGTAAGCTGGAGGCCAGATGATTATTTCAGGGGAACCCTTCAATATGGCTGAGTGACACTGAGGTGGATAAAGCCCCATCCCTCTTGGTTTGGAGCTGCATGGTGGGATGAGGAAGGATGAAATAGCTCCATCCTCTTTATACAGGCTGGAGGGAGGTGATTCTGCCAGCTGGGTGGGCTGAGAGGGTGGGAGGCTTGTGTTCTCTCTGCCTAGCCTGCCATGGGAGGGCAGGAACTCTCAGGAGGGCTGTTGGCTGCTGTGGGGAAACATAGGAAGCTGTTTCCTGCCCTCATCTCCCTGCCCCAATGCATTTGCTGCTTGTCTCTGCCAGAGCTGTAACTCTTTGCAGAGCACTGCCTTCTGGAGCTTGATCCTTAAAGGATAACTGGCTGGGAGCAGGGGTAAGAAAAGCCAGAGAGCCTCAAGCACGCTCATCTCTCACTCCTCTGCTCTGATTTCTCCCTCCTTCTGCCCCTGCTGTCTGGCATTTTCTGCCCCTGAGGCAGCCTAAGGAAGTGGCAAGGCTGTTCTGCTCTGTGCCAGGAACTACACAGAGCAGGACACCACACTTGCAAGGCCGGCACTACCATCTCTACTTGTTTCTTTTATGGTGACAAAAAGTGTCATCATTAAACCAAAAGACACAAATCTACTCTGGACTGTGACATCTAGCATACATTTGCTAGGCTGCTGAATGCAGTTACAAAGGGCTTAAGATGTGATGCAATCAGTTTATGTTTTAAAATGATTAATTACAGTTACTGGTTGCTTTTAAAGTAGAACCTGTATGTTTTATTCATATGCATACTATCATCAAAAGCAGTGTAATTGCACTCCAGCATGCAGTTTGGGTAGGTAGTTTTATCTTTTAGTTAGTTTTTTATTTTACTCATTCATGGACATCAGAAAATGGTAAGTCTTCTGACTCCAAAGGACACGTTCCTGTAGCATTCTTTTGGGAATGATAAAAATCCTGAAAGCAGGAATGAGCGTGATGGCAAATAAGTTTTCTAAAAATTGGACATTTGATATGGGTGAGAAACTATCCCAATGGTTTTTGAAAAGTTGGTTGGAATTCAAGGAGGCTGCAGATGGTAAGATACCAGTTGAATTGTTGGGCCCTCTGTGGTTATTAATGCTTACCTGATGATGTACCAGATGCAAAGGCAGAACTGTCTTCTGTGAGACGTCTACACCCTGGTTTTTCTGTCTTTTCAGACACTCTAAGTGAAAAGATGCTCTTCGACCTGTAACAGAAATCACACACAACTGTGTTCATCACTCATAATACACTACAGGAAATTGGTTTCTACTTCTTTTAGAGCAGTCCCACTGGAGACAGGGCAAAGTCATGTACATTTTATTCTGTGTCCACTTTCCCTCAATAATTTGCCCCTTCCAAAGCATTTGTATTTACAAAAAGCAGTCAGGCATCATGGACCAGCCAGCACCACCTCCCAGGCAAACTGCAAGATAAAATTCTGGATGATGATTTGTATTTTTCCTCTCCTGAAACACTGTCCTAGCAGATACAATGCAGCTGATTGCCCTTCTAAGCAGGTGAAGTGTTCTCATAACCCTGATTCAGGTAAAGCCCTCAGCGGGACTGAGAATGGTAGCTGAGGCTCTGGTGCTGTGCCTGGCTCCACATAACATGCCGGAGCGGACGTCAGGCTGCTCAGGTGACAATCGACCTCCTGCTTTCATGTGATCTGTGTCCCTTAGCTGCCAGACATACCACAGCTTATGAGGCTGTGTCTATAGCAAGGTCAAGTGGAGTGAGTTAATCAGTGGTTGAGTTCACTGGTGAATGGGAGGCTGCTTATATGGACACTAAGCAGTTTCAAAATTTGGGAAGAAGGGAGGAGAAAAAAGCTTTTTTCTCTTAGGGAAAAAAAAATAGAGATTTTTAGGGGGAACTGTAGAAACAGCGACATTGTTTACTTGCTATAAAACTGATCTTTACTTCTGTAAATATGAGAAAGGTACTCCCCATGTGGGAATTTAAAAGTACTATAAAGTATGTTTGTGAACAAGTGCACAGGCTTTACTTCTGAAGAATGGCAAATAAATCCAGTATTAAAGATTAAGCTGCATGCTGTACTGAAATATTTTGTGGTCTTCTTGATCCTGTTGACATTTTTCAAAAGCAAGAAAGAAAATTAGAATTCTGAAAAAAGTAAATGTCTGTGATACTGATCTGTAGAGAAAAGGGCCTCTAAGGGTTGAGGGAAATGTGTTAGAACCCAGAGAATGAATACTACAATACAGATAAAAAGTATTCCTCTTTCAATAGAAAAAAATCCCCAAACAACTAGTAAAATAAGTATGACACCACTGTATGAATATTCACTGGAATGTAGTTAATGAAGCACTGTATCAAGAACTGACTGCAAATCTGGCCATACAGATAGATATAGGAACTATCACAGCCTAATATTTTAAGCTTTGAAATAAGGTAAATGCTTTTCAAATACTCCATTGTATAAGCAACCTGAAGGATTTGAGTGAGCACAGAGTAGCCTCACTTTAAACATTATGCTACCTAGCCTGTCATTGTTATTTTGTAAGAATATATTTTATATATGGGATTCTTTTTAGTTTCTTCCCCAAATGTTCTTTTTCTTCACACCAGGATTCAGGAAAAAGGCTGAAAAATATTCTACATCAAAGAGTCATTTTTTTTCAAGACTCTCTCATATGTTCTGATACTTCTATAAAATCCTGTGACTCATGGATTTCACCTGAGTGTAGCTTGCGCACCCAAGCACTTGAAAATCTCCAGGTACAATCAGAGCAGAAAGTAAATTTGTATTGTATTAACTTAATCTGAAATTGACTCTATTCATTGTAGCAGACAAAAGAGACAGCCTCCCCTTTCTCCCTGCTGAATGCACACAGAACAGAGCACTGTATACTCAAGGCTAGCCTATTCGGTGACTCCTTGGTGACTGGAGAGTCTACAGTGCTCTAATAAACTCCCCTAATTCACAGATAGGCTTAATCAAACAGATCTCATGGACTATCCAAACAGCCACAGGTTCATCTACTGACTGAGCATAGTGTCAGTAGAATCATGTGCATGATCAGGATCATATGCACGCTGTGGGATTCCTGGTCTTATAAGCTAAATGCAGCAAACAGCAACACCTGTGCCCACACATACTGGGATTCCTCCAGCAAAATGTGAGAACTCAGTCGAGGCAGAGGAGAGCACAGCCCGTGTGTCATGCTGGGGGGTTACCTAATGCTGAGGAGCACAGAAATCCTTTCTTTGGAGAGTGCCGGCTGTCTTCTCCTTTGTTGTTTTCTGGTGGAGTAAGCTGTCTGTTTTCATCATCTTGGTATGCAAGCCTGGAAAGGAGAACAGAGGGAATCTAGAAAAGCAGCTGATATTGGACAGAATAACTCCTTTTCCAGCAGGGGAGCCAGGAAAATCATGCTATCAAATGGATGCAATAGTAAGTTAGCTTTGAGCTGTAACTGGTCCAGAAGCAGTAACAAGAGACCATGTGACAGAGAATGCTCTAAATGTGAGATTTGGGAATGTTAGATAGTAGATGTGAATATGGAAGAAGGCCCTGTAGATCCAGATGTTTCATTCAAAGGAGAAGGAAAGTCCTGGGTCAAAGATGTCCTTTTCAATGTTACTTGAAGAAAACCAGAACCTCTTCCCACCTCTCCCCTTTAATCAAAGAACCACCCAAACACCTTGACTAAAGCTGCAAAGCTCACATTTCGGTAGAGAGCAGACTTGGTTCACTACAGTACTCAATGTCTTCATTCAAATTTTCATCATACGTCTCATCCTGAGACACTTCCTCTTGGCAAACAATTGCCAGCTGGCTGTCTCTGGAACTGGAGCTAATGAGCAAAAAAGACAAGTCAAGATACGGAGATGGTAAAGACAACCTGTTATAAAGACAAGAATGACAGGCTCCATCTGTCTCAGTTTATTATAATGTTGAAGAGCTATCATAGAAAAATCAATGACTGAACAGAGCTGCAGAGTTCACAAACACAAAACAACCTTTGGCTCTATCCTCTTTCAGAAGAAGAGCTTCTTAAGTCAGTGCCGGACAAATATTACTGTCATTTATGACTACATGTACTCTATAGATGTGCGACACCACACTGACTATATTTCCAAAGATACACCTCACTGAACTTGAGGTAAAACCTGAGATGGGCCCTTGGAAATACAGCTTTTCCCCTTGTTGCAAAAGCCTTGGCTACAAATTTCAGAGAGGCCTCCTAGACACTAACAGTAACCCTCTCAGCTCTGTGGTTTATTCTCTGCCTCCCAAACCCTTTTGTGTGCACATCTCTGCCCTCTGCTTTCTGTTCACCCTCTTGTTTCTTGCTGTCTTTTCCATTTTTTGGGCCCTTTTCCTCATCACTAACTGCAGAGTACTTCTACTGAATTCAGTAGGATCCGTTTAAACCCTTAAGTGTGAAAGGCCTTAATTCCCTGTTTGTCTTCTCTTTGTCCCTCTGTTTTAGGTCTTGGCCCTCATGTTTCACTTCCTTTTGAGTTTGTGTTTTCTGAGGAGCAAAGTGAAATCTGAAGGTAGTGTGAATCTTTGAGAGACTGACATGGAGGTATTGGAGCCAATGTCAGTCTGTTACTAGCATTTGCAGAAAACAGCAGTATGGCAGGGGTTTTCTTGTATTTCAGGGACTAGATAGGAAACATTATCATATGCTTTAAGCAAAAAGCATTAGGAGAAATGTGCATACACATGGTATAAAGCATCCTGTAGGACAAGAGTGATCTTCCTGCTGGGATGGGAAGCAAGTAAAACTGCCTAAAGCGCAGAGAGGAGAAAGTAAGGCAGCTCCCCCTATTCAACAGTCTGTTTATTCAAAACCATACAGAATTTTTTGTACTGACATGCCAGGGTATATTTCACTGTGCTGTCATCAGAGAGTGCCTAGATGTGTAACCCCAGCTAGAAACTCTTAATACCCCCCAAAATCTAGGAACCAGCTAGAAACAGACTATGCATCACTATCTGCCTGTGGGCAGAAAACCCCTGAGTTGGGAGTATTTTCTGGAAATATCATGGTGATCATTAACTCTTTTTCAGCCCTACTGACAACAAAAATAAGAGGTCATATTCATGGATGTTTGGACTTTCAATGGATGAACAATGGATCTTACACCCAGAGTGCATTAGTGAACAAGGGAGAACACGTACCATCCCAGTGTTTCGTAGTAATGAGTCCTAATTCAAGGAAGGTGCCCAAGGAAGCAGGGAGAGAAAAAAACACCATGTTAGCAATGTTACATCAGCACAAGTCAGCAAGGGGAAGGGCAGATGGTAAAACATATTGTGCAACTCCTGGGGCCTCCCTCAGGAAGGCACAAAGTAATAAAAATACTGGACTCTTTACTTGAGCAATTCATAGAATCATAGATGATTTGGGTTGGAAGCAACCTTAAGATCATCAGTTCCAACTCCCTTCCATGGGCTGGGACACTTTCCGCTAGACCAGGTTGCTCAAGGTTTTGTCTAACCTGGCCTTGAACATTTCTAGGGATGGAACATCCACATCTGCTCTGGGCAACCCATTCCAGTGCCTCACCACCCTTACAGTAAAGAACTTCTTCCTTATATCTAACCTAACTTCCCCTATTTAAGTTTAAGCCCATCACCCCTTGTCCTATCACTACAGTCTGTAATGATCAGTCTCTCCCCAGCACCCTTATAAAACCCCCTTCAGATACTGGAAGGCTGCTATGAGGTCTCCACAGAGCCTTCTCTTCTCCAGGCTGAACAGCCCCAGCTTTCTTAACCTGTCTTCATATAGGAGGTGCTCCAGCCCCCTGATCATCCTCTATTTTGCACCCACTGAGTTTCCTCTTACTTTCTTATTCTGTCCTTTGCTGGGGCAGCATTTCACCACCTTTTCACATTGCCCACTCTATGCACTCAGAAAAATTGTCCAGCTCCTTCCTCTGTGACTGAAAGGGCTAAAAATATCCCCCGCTGATAAAGATGATACCCCTTTCATACTTGTCATCTGTGTGTAAACATCTTGAAAGCTGTCCAGAGAAGGGGGTTTTATTTGCCTTGCACAGCACTGCATTTCTGAAAACCTCTCCTTCCTCCTCCCAGGATGCATTTGGTGACCTCTGGAGGGATGTGACCCACTGAATGAAAAACCACTGACTTCCACAGAGCTCCTTATGGGGTGCTTAAGAGGTGAACTGCTGTTTCTTGGTTACCAATTTCTTGGTTACCACCTCCCTGTGGTGAAGGAGGGATAAATAAAGCTCCTTTTGGTTCTTACAAAGTATTTTTTCATGATAATTCACAACAAAATCAAGTGTGTTGGGCAGTAAGAGTGCAGTGGTCTTTGCAGTGGTCAGCCAATGCATATCTGTTGTATGGTGGGCTTTCGCACAAATGGAGAACCACAGGCTCAATCCAGGCTGCAGGCTGGGCAATGTCTGGTGGGTGACTTCAGCTGGGCAGCAGTGCTCTGGTGTCTGCATGCATGTTTCTATACGTGGTCCCTTGACTCACTCACTGCTGTGAAGCTTACCTTTTGGAAGGCAGTTTCCAAGGAGCCTCCTGTACACGTATGGTGGGTGACAAGGGCGTCCCATGGCCTTCCACTGTGCTGACAGTGCTGGGGTAGCTGGGTGGGCTGGGGAAGCGGCACAGGGCTGTGTTGTTGGCATTGTTGATGTTGGCATTGGAGCCTGAAGATGAGTAGCTGCTGGGAGTGAAGGTGGAGTCCACCAGCTTCTCATGAGATGGAGACTCGGTATCTCCCTGGTTGTTGCCAGACTTGTTGATGTGCAAAGGTCGCTGGGTGGTGAATGTCTGAGGGAATGCACTCCTGCCATCACTTTGGTAATAGCTGACATGGTTTCCAAACAAGCCTCCAGCTCTCTGTCAGAAAAGAAGGAAGGATTTTCCCTTTGTGAGTGAGAAGATGTGCAAGGGCCCTAGTGTTTCCTGTTTAGACTGCTGTTGAGGGAAAAAAAACCATGAGGGCCAAAGTGTGCGTGCACTGGTGCTCTCTTTTCTAGAGAGACAAGGTACATGCAAGCCGTGAAAGCTTTGGCTTTCCAAGATATTTCAGAGGACTGGCCAGGAGCATAGGCAAAGAAAGGAAAAGAAAATATTACCAGAGGAGATAATTACAAGAAATAGGAATGAAATAAGAAAGGGAAGATTTAAATAACTTGTACTTTTTTTGAAAGATGATACTTGTACCACTGAAAGGAGAAGTGAACAAAAAACTGAAGTGTGCCTTACTGCTGCTCTGTGGAGTGTAAGATGGATGAACTGGTGTATTCTTCAGACTCTTTAGCCATTCTTATTCTGGTTTTACTTAGGTTTTAGGAATGAAACTTCCATTGAGAAGAAAATGGGATAAAACCCATGCAAAGATCTCAGGATCTGGCACCCTGAGTCCCCCACTCTGTTTTCTGGTAGGGTTTAGAAAACAAGACAGATGGCCGAGCTGAAAACCAGAGTGCATAAAAGAGAATGCTCTGAGCTCAGCTACTGGTCTAGCCTCAGCTTGCAAACTTGCTGAGTACCTACCCGGAAGATATCATCTTCAGAGGCAGCAGACACAGCTTCTTTCATGGCCTTGTCTAGCTCTTCTTCAGCTGTCAGGTCTCCAGAGATTGCTCGTCTGATCTCTGGCCCAATGTCGTGAAGTGTTCGCAGACCAGCCTGCAAAACAGCAAACTATAGAGCTTCATATCTCCGAGTGGTTTTATGAGGGGTAAAAGCAATTCTATTTCTTCCTAAGCACTGCAAAGCCCTTTTACTTAATATAGCATCCTTAGCTCCCAGAAAAACACCAACAAATTCTATTCTTTCATCTCCAGCTTAGAGAGGGTGAAACTCATAGCAATCCAACCCAGAAATGTTTATTGCTAGTCCCCTGGCTTCATCACAACAGGACATAGTCATAAATCCACACACAGGCTTGACTAAGCAAGTCTACATGCTTTTTCAACTTTGGGTTCTCAGGTCCACAACCAGAAACCCTGGAGCAGCCACAGTTCCAGCTGAACCATGGACTCTGAGTTTCTGAAAATGTCTTCTTTTAAATCAGCAGTTTAAATATGGATTTAATATCTAACCTTCTGGCATCTGGACCTAGACAGTTCTGAAACACCTCACAGACTGGAATCTATTCCAGGGAGTCCATCCAGGAAGGTAAGCTGTGAGTATGCCAAGACCTCAATCTGTATTTGAGCCTGCGCCACAGCACTTTTTAGCTTACTGGAACTCCAGTCACCCTTTTTCCTTACAGTACCCTTGAGGGATGTAAATGGGGCTGCATATACATTCAGCGAGGCTTTCTCATTCTTTCACACAGCCTGGTAGTCCACCCAGTGAACATGTAGCACAGTGCTGAAAAGATCCCAGGTCTTAGAGCCTGATGTCCCACTTGTTGGATGGCACTGGCATCCAGGTATGCTTTTTTGCTTTTTAACTCATTTTGCCCCCTGGCAACACGCTCTCCCTGACCCTGCTATAGAAACTCCCTTCAGAAAGGGTAGAATGAATGTGGTAATAGGTATATGTCTGCTGGACACTTCATACCAGTTCTCTAAAAGGAACCCACATTTCAGATATTACCAGCAGATTGATAAACTGTGGATATACCTCACTTGTGCTTTCCACCTCCAGAGCTAAGGGATGTGGCACGTGGTACCTGCATATTTATCCAAAAGGAGTGATGCTGTAACTCAAAGGGTCTACAAGCTCCTTTCCATTGGGGATAGCCCATTCCACCCCCCAGCATGGTTGAGAGGGAGGTGGGGTCTAATGCCTCTACTGTACCACCCCTGTCCATTCTGTGCCCGCTTGTCACCTGTAAGGAGAGCGCGTTGCGCTGGGAGGGCTTGCCCACCAGTCCCTGTTCTTTACGTTTCTTGAACTTGCGGAAATATTCCTGAATCAGGAAAGTGGCATAGAACTTTCCAACGGTCACCTCATCATCTGCAAAGGGGTATAAAAAAAATAAATAAATAAGCAACTGCTTTAATACAGTATAATTGCTAATGTGAGCCTTGCAATTCACAGCAGAAACGCTAGGCACCGCAGTACAGCTTTGCTTTTGATGGCATCAAGATGCGGGGCTGAAGGAAGGGATTGCTCCACAGCCAGAGCTTGCTGTAAGTAGTCAGGAAGAGAGGTGCATGCACTATTTGGATAGACTTGCTCTGCTGGCAGAGAACCCCTGTACGTCTGGATGTATGCTGTTTATGCTGAAGTGCCTCTAACCTTCGCAGCGTCTGGTACTGGTTTACCATGTAAGATCTTGCTGTAGCAGCAGCCTCCCATCTGAGTCAATGCATGCTGCTCTGTCTTGTGACAACCTAGGCTAATACATACTCAGAGTCTGGGCTCACCAACAGCATTTGACTGACCATCCATTCCAGACATGATCTGACATTCTCCACGTTGAAATTCTGTCTGGTTGTGCCTAGCATGGACTCAAATGAACCAAAATGATCACCTATCCCCAGAAATGCAGTCACTGCTGTATCCTCAATACAAACTGTCAGTCAGACAAAATATGCACCAAGTTTTTATACAGGTAACTCTCCCCCCTTCTCCAAACCCACTGGAAATGTTGTAAGACATGGTCTGCTGACTTCAGAGCAGGCTGAGCAAGATGCAGGATCTGGCTGCAGCTGTTAACTAACTACCAAATGCTGTTTTGTGCTATAGCCCCTGCAGCTACCTGAAAAAGTCAGCAAAAGCCACACTGGATGCCCACGCACCTGGGGTCCCAAGAAGCTCAGCGAAGGAGTTGCCTAGAAGCCTGCAAATTACAGCCTACCAGGGATGCTGCTTAGAAACCCACAGCAATCTGCTACACCAGTTCAGGCTGGCTGAGGAATGTCCCTAGGTACACTACTAGTCTTTGACAGGTATCCTAGTAGAAAGCAGTTATGTGGGTAAAAAGAGTTATATCCATAGTAAAGGCAGCTTTGCTAAATATGAAGGATTTATGAGGTGCGGGTGCATTCTTGAGTGTAATGCAGCCACATAAAGTACACACAATTGTTCTTGGAGCTACTTTGTTCTGCCTGCTTCCTTTGCACCAGATAATGTCCAGGAGGACAACTGCTTATGATCAAACTGGAGCAAGATCTAGGAATAAAGGTTTCTAACTCCTATTTATGCAGTTAGAAGCCTCATTTCTTAGCAGCGAGAACATGAAATTCGTGTTAGTACAGGCAGAAACAGATCTCAGCCTGATAAAATGCAGGTGACAGCTTGTAGAAGAAGGCTTGTCCCCCACATTCCACTTCATGATCATGAGGTGCAGTAGGACATTATCAGGCGGGGAGAGACAGAGATTCAGACTGGGACAAGATTCTGCACTCACCACCTGCGGGGGGCACCACCTGGTCCAGCAGCTTCATACTGGTGCGCTTCCAGATTTTCTTAATTATTGCTCTCAGCTCTTCGTTGGCTTGCTCCAGGTTACCTGCAGGGTGAAAATCATCAGAGACAGGGATTCAGCAGACCCTGCAGAGGAGCAATTTCATGTCTGGCATGGCAATTTTGGGAAGTAAACACCACAGCTTTTTCAGTAGTGGAAAGTTTTGGGCTAAGAGATGCTTTCACCATTGCTAAAGCCCCCTCACAGCAAGAGGTCTTCTTCCTAAATATGTATAGTCATCTTGAGGTAGGAAGGTGACAGTGTTACTGCCTGTGATAGTGTGCAAAAGCCAGAAAAAGCAGAACCATAGCGCTACTTCATTTCAGTCTCATCTAACACTTACATTTTTAATTGAGATCTAGTGAAGGTTGAATATGATGAGAGGTCAGTTGATGAGAAACTACAGCTTGGGGAATACAAATAATTGCCAGTAAAGATGCACCTAAAAATCTGAAGGCCTGTGCCTGATTGCAGCACTTATCAAGGACTACCTGTTGCAATCCCTGCCTCCCGGCAGATACCAAGTTCTTCACATGGTGCAGATAGTCTGCCTTGGAGAGTCTGCACAGTGCTCTGACAAGGCACTTCAGGCATGTGCAAGGTTTTCACTATTCAACTCAGAGGACTGTCCCAGGAAATTTGTGTTTATTCTCTGAAGAACAGCAAAGGCTATAAGAAGCCTTTTATGTAACTGTCTGAACTTAGACTTTACATGTTCCTCCAAGGGGTTCTCAGCTAAATGAGACATTAATCAAGCCACACTACCCCTCTGAGAGTGAGTGAAGCAGGTTCGATTTATATTCTTTCCTTCTAGGTAGCCATTTCCTCCCAGGTGATTCACCTTCAATTTTATTTCTTAATTTATGTACATTCAAACCCCTTATAATTGAAGCTCTCTTCTCTCTCTAGGTAGTATGGAATCACAATCATGTCCTCCTAAAGGTGCTGTTCCTGCAGCTTTTCTTATTGCTCCTCAGCATTAAGGCTCGGTGTACTGCACAGGGCTCTGTGTGGCAGTAGCTCTTAATAGGATGCAGTGAAGACAGGGACACTGAGGAGCTTGATGAGGATGACACAGGAGGACAGCATCAAAGGCAGAAGTCTGACTCAGGATGGCTGATTCCAAACTCCTGCCCTAACTAACCACTTAGAAGATCTTGCTAAGGCAAGAAAGCAAGCATTTTGAGGCTTTAGGTGGTTTCCCAGGAGTTCAATGGCAATGGCTCTGAGAGTCTGAGGCAAAGACGGACAAGAAAATTGAGTCCTTTTTGGGTCTTTGTTTCATAAACCACAAGATGCCCTACAGGGATTGTGGTTGGCTTTTTCTTCAGGAGAGCCTCTTTGGCTACAGGCAAACTTTGTTTAGCACGATATTCATGACCTTAATATGTTTTTTTTTATTTTATCACGGGTTTTTTGCTCAGCTGTCAGTATAATCCTGGCACAGTAAGCTGGGGTTCTGCTGGTCTCTACCTTCCCATGCCTGAAATGTACCCACTCCTGAGACAGAAGTGCTCAGCTGTGAATCACAGCCCTAGACACTCTTTTAGAGTGTCTCATTAATACATGAAGCCAGGTTTTGACTCAGGACCAATATCTTTCATTACAGCAGGTGACAGAGTGCGACAAAGGGAACAAGCTGAGCCCAAAATCTTGTCTGCTTTCCTAAACTACACCTGCTGGTCTATGCAAAGCTATTAACAGCCCCTTTGCTTCTCATCTGTCTTTAGGCCTACAACATCACTGTCACTACAGTGTGATGTTAACTCATGCTAATGGAAGCACATGAGGAGTTTTAGGGAGGTGAGACCCTTGAGTCCAGCCTCTTTTGCCTCCCTTGGATTGGAAGATCAGTGGCAACAGCAGTCAAAAAGTGGCCCAGGTCTGCAGCTAATTTATACAAGGGGAGACTTCTTTGCCCTTTTTCCTTCCTGTGGTTTGCTGCTTGAGCAGACATGGATCTAAAACTTAACTTTGAGACCGCTGTAAAAAAACATGATCAATAATCCGAGATGGTAACATGGGAAGCACCAGCTTTCTAGGGAATGGTGAACACTGTTTTCTCCCTAGAAGATATTCCTCCAAACATCTTTACATTGTTTTTTGTACTGTGTGCTGCATGTGAGTAACTGGGATCATTTTACAGAGGATGTTCTTATTGTTGCATTCCAGCTCAGCACACTTTTATGTGAACACCACTCAGCTACCTTCGTACCTTTGCAGTCAGCAAGATTCTTACCTTCTGTCTTGATCCTCAGTGCTGTTCTGACCAATGCAAAGAGAGTGGCATTGAACATGACAGTCCCATCACTGTTCAGTGGCATATTCATGGAAACAAGGCGCTGTGGAGTAAGGAGAAAGAGAACAATCACACTGCCAACAGACAGACTGAAGAACGCTCTTCCTTATGCCCTCATGATGCCCTCCAGACTCACCACCCTTCTTATGTGAGCATCCATGGCCTGTGGATTTAATTACACAATTACAAAAGTATTTGTCACATCCACCAATGGTCCCAACCATGGAGTTTTTGTCCTGGAGTCCCTCTCTCATTGCTAGATATTCCATTTTCTTCAGCGTGGCTATCACTTTCTAGCCTTCCTTTTCCCTGCTAGCCAGTGGGCATTTGCCCACAGTGTATTACACAGAGATTTGTTCTAGTCGCCAAACTATTTGGCTTTTAAATGACACCTTGTTTTCTTATGAGGAGCAAATTGATTTCTTCATACCTCATAATGCACTTGCAAAGCTGCCTGCACTAAAGCTGTGCCTGGTTCAAATGTATATAAAGAGAGAGCAAGAATCTTTCTTTCAGGTGACAGGCTTGAAAGAAAGGGAATTAGCCAAACCTGAAAGCTGTTCTGCTTTATCCAACTATTCCCTGTCTCCCTCTAAAATAAGGCTGTGGCTGCCCTGGAATAATTCTGTAAAGCCATGTAGGACAAAGAGTGCTGAGTACTGTTGCAGCTGCAGGGTGAATTTTAGTGAGACTGACAACATATGTCTGAGGCAGATGTAGCAGAGTCACCAGATCTTCCATCTCTTAGGAGGTAAGAGACATCAGGGACTTGGTTTGAATGTATGCTTTCAGGGGTTGATTTTGTTTGAGCTGTTTCTTCTGCCACTTTCATGCAACAGGCCTGGTTCAATACCAAACTGGAGGAAAGAGTGTCATTCCCCATCACTACCACTGCAATCACAGTCACGGGGGTTTGAACCAGATCGAGACAACAAACAGCTGCTTGACAGCAGATTGAAAGGGATTGGAAACAGACCACAGAAGTCACATATTTCTGTGTGCAGGCCCCAGGCTTTGTGTTTTGCTCTGGCACTAAAATAAAGAACAATTGCAAGTGTCACACATGAACTCTGGGACTTGCAAGGAGATGAGCAAAGATCTTCAAGTAAAGGTTATAAACATGTCATTATTCACTGGAGAGAGTCCTTTTTCAGAGATGGAGTCTTGCAACTAAAGAAACACGTGATTTTCACCGAAAATCTGTCCTTACCCTCATGCATTTTAATACCATGCTCACTGTGCTGTTTAATATCTCAGTTATTTAAGCAAGAATGAGATACAGCACTAGGTTTTTGGTGCACTGCTTAGTCAAAAGGAAAATCTCAGAGATATTTTTACTTGCCCTGTTATTTCTGTCTGCCCTGATCTGTCTTGGGATGTGTGTTTGATACCACAAACATGTGTGGTTGATTCAGTGCTTGATATTTGAGAGCTGTGGTTAGCATGAATGCTCTTTCTTAGCTAGAGAGGGTTGGCAGTGTGCTGATGTCTCTGACTAGCAGAAAACCTGCCTGCTGGTGACCCTCCAGCCCAGATGGGCAGTAGACTGGGAGGCACCCAGGCTGAGCAGCAGGGTTAGCTATAAAAATGCCGCCACCGGCTATTTAGCTGCTGTGCCTCCCAGCCTTCCCCAAGCTGCTGCGTGCCTTACTTTGCAAGCCACTCGGTGAGGGCAGAGCTTCCCAAAGCCCAGGGGTGGCTGAATCCGTCGAAGCAGCGTCACCACATCCAAATGTTTGATCCGTCCCCTAAAGAAGAAAGCACAGTGAGGGTCTCATCCTTACCACAGGGTGAGCTGCTGATCCGCCTGCAGAGTGTGGATGAAGCTAGAAGTATCACTAGATCTTTTCAGCTCCACACTGCCACTCCTTTAGCTTGGGCATAGCTTAAAGTATTATGTCTGGCTTCTTGCAGTGTGCATTCCTTAGGAATTGCCCAGCACTTGTATAACTCCTACTAGTACAGAAAACCCAGCTGTCAGTCATACATGAATCGGTACTTGCAAGAATGGACTTCAGTGTTTTGAATGCTGCAGTTTCTTAGTGCATGAACAGACAATTTGGGGTTGTCCTGCCACCACTGACCTGATCAAAATCTATGGCTGTTTATTTACATGTTGGTCTTAGGGATATAGCAGGCACAGAGGAGCACAGGATCTCTTTTTTTCTGGTGCTTTACCTCCCATATAAATAGCTCCAAGCTGCTCTCTTTTGATACTCGTTTATGCTTTGGGCTGTCACTGGAGATAGTGCAAAACAAAGTGCTAAACTTCCTCCACAGCAGCAGTTGAGTTTCTTTTAAGTTCTGTAAATGGCATCTCAAAAGAAGAATTCTCCCATGGAGGGAGGAGAGCAACCAGGGCCAAAGGTGGGGCTCCAAGCCTGGGACATGGATGGGAAAGAGGGAAAAAAGAGCTTCCCATTTATAGATGTGAAGGAACATGATGTCATCTGGACTGAGCGGCTATCTATTATATGGCTTCAGTCCCTGCAGTTTTGCCTTCAAACAAGCACAAATAGCAGCATCTGTTTTGTTAGCAAACAGTGTATTTATTAGAATTCTGTGCTTATCCCCTATCCATATTAAAAGTCTCTCTGGGAAGTCACCATGGATGGGAAGAAGGGTTTCAATTTATGTATCACCCTGATAATGTGACATGGCCTCACATATTGCAGAACCTGAGCCCAAATTTATCTTGACACTATGTTCCTAAAGAGATCTGCTTTTAGTTCATGCCAGGATCTCTTTCACAGTTTTTACATAATGAAAGGGGCTTTGCAATTACAGTTGTCAACTGTACTGTAATGCCACAGGGATCTAAATGCACTTTAAGCCTAAGCATGTGTTAAACAGAGCATATAATACCGAATGTCAGTTAAGCCCTCGTGTGAGTTGTTCTTGTGTAACTTTAAATCCCTGCAAGTCTGCTGATGTGAATAACCCCGCAGACAATGTACCGCAGCCATGTGAAGATACAGGTTGTGATGGGCCTATATGACAAAACGGAGATTTAAGCACAGCAGCTCTACTGTGAGTAGGAAGTCAAATAGAAGAGTCACAGCTCAATATCCCAAACATATGCAATAATAACCCCACTCCCTAATCTCCTCTGCTCAGTCTCCTGCTGTCCCATCCCTCTATATGCCCTCCTTCCCTCTATATCTCCCCCTGACTGAAAGTGAAGCAATGTCCTGCCACATAACACTGAGATTTCTGTGTGTATCCTTGCGCAGCTTGTTTATGGAGTTGCCAGCAATACCCTAAGGAGGTACCTGTTTTAGGATTCTTTTCAGAAAAAGAACTGTTCCTGCAGGAGGAACATGGCACTTACTGCACTGGGTCTAGAGAACAGAAAATAATGGTCCTGTTCTCCTGAGGAGTTCTGATATCCAGGCTGGGTTACTTACTTGGCTTCAGGGTCATACTCTGCCCAGATCCTTTTAAACTCATCCAAGTGGTGTGGTCCTAAAATGGACCAGTCCCGTGTCAGGTAATCAAAGTTATCCATTATAACAGCTACAAAAAGATTGATGATCTGCAAACAAGGACAGAGATGACTTGATGGATGAGACAGGTAGCAAACCATAGACTTTACTGTGTTCTCTGTTTAAGGGCTGTGTTTGGACTCATGAAACTAGGAAGCCATTGTGGGTGGGTTCTCTGTTCCCCCATATGCCAGCCCCTCAGTTTAAATGGGAAGACCCCAGATGTGGGATATCCTCAGCTGGTCACATTTTTCTCTTCCCTACTAAATGCATGAGGCCTAAATTTGCTGAATGCTTGGACATGGTGTGATGGCTTTTTGTTTACCTGTGTCTTTGCCCAGCAGAACGGGGTAGTGGTGCGAGAACCTGGGATTTACCCTCTAAAGGCAGTGGGGCTGAGATAAAAGCCCTTTCTTCTGGCCCAAGACCAGAACTTTTCAAATGGTGCTGCTGTTCACTGGGAGAGTTTTGCGCACTGATGCCAGCTGCAGAGCATGTGCTGTTGCTCTGAGCAATGCTGCATTGCCAACATGGAGCAGATGCAAGTGGGATATGTGTATTCTCACAGTCATTGCTGCTGGCAGGGGAGGAAAGAAACCTGCTCAGCAGCCAGAAGGAAGGTAGGAGGGAAGGTGGGAAGTGTGGCTGAGGCGTTGCTAGCCTCAGCACAGCCCACATCACGCTAATTTGGTTTTCTCATTGAGGAGGAGGGGGGAAGATCCTTTGCCGTGCACAAAGGATTTGGTTTGGAAGCAGAGCATCCCACAGAGCGGGAGGGAGGCAGAAATGGCAGAGACCAAGGGGGGTGTTGTCACTTAAAGGGTGGGAAAGACCCCACAGGGAGATTTTCCCTCCTTGAGATCATTCTTCTACTGTGCACAGTCTGAGAGAGGACAGGTTTCAGTTGCTGGAGCAGACTCACCAGGAAGGCACAGAGCATGTAGAAGCTGATGAAATAGAAGACGGCAAAGCTGCTGCCACAGGAGTGATCGGCTTCAGTGGAGTTGGCTGGCTCTGACTCTGGGTCACACTTCTTATCCGGGAGACATGCCAGCATGATTTCCTGCCAGGCCTCTCCGGTGGCACACCTGGGCACAGCAAAGGGCAAGAGAAGACAGCAGTGACCTTCAATGTGAGAGGGACTGGCACATTAAGCAACCTGCTTCTGCTCCCATGAATATTTATGGAAATTTTGCCACTGAGGTCAATCAAGAACAAGTTGGGCTGATGGCTGGGCTTTGACATACACTGGCATACCCTCTTTTTGGCTTTGTTGCCATCATCTGTGTGTTGTTTCTAAATGGCTTTGGCCAGTCTGGGTATGGGGCTGTTGTGCTTCAACCAGCCAGAGTCATTGAGATGTGTGTGACATGTCTATGGATTGCATGAAAAATACCCCTGAAAACAAGGAGATGGTGATGAATTTGTGCCATCTCCCCACCCTGTCAGCACCCTTCCCTGACCCTGGCACAGCTGGCCACAGGTGGAGCAGGATAATGTGCTAAGCTGAGCAGGGCATGCCCATACCAAAGCATGAGTGGGAGTTCATGCCTGTTTCCCTGCTAAAATAAGCTGGAAGTCATACTGGCTGGATTTGAATGAAAGGAGGAGTTTGTGATGCATACCAACGTTTGATAGCACTGAAAACTGGCTACTTCCCGAGCAGGAGGACTTGCCGCCCTCCCAGCACTGAGTGCAGGCCAGTGTACAGGGCTTAAGGGGCTGGTCCTGTCATCAGACACAGCTCCTAGGCTCCTCTGCTGAGGGACAACATGTTGCTACTCACCTCATGAGCATGACACGGTAGAAGGAGATAAGCTGTGCCCAAGAGCAGAGCAATCATGCTCCCATGCTGACACAACCCAGAGCTGTCAGACACCCACCTGAAAAGGAGCAGCACTGCCTGGGGGAAGGTCTGGAAGTTGTTGTTGCGGTTGATTTCTGTGGTATCGTTCAGCGCAATTTTACCAAACACCTGGCAGAAAGCAGAGGTCTTTACAGATTAGTCCTGCAAAACCACCCAAACCTCTTGTCACCTGCAGCTCTTGGCCCCACCCTGGCCCTGACAGTTAACAGAACCTGCTCTTCTCTTAGAAAAACCATTTCCACAGGTCTTTCGTATTTGCTGCTGCTCCCCTTGCTTGCGCTTTATTGCTGGAAAAGCACTCATTTTGTAACAAGAGGCATCTTCTGTTAAAACAAGACTTCTTCATTTCATACACTACAAATACGTGATATGGGGCCCTGTTTTAACAGGTACTCATATGTGGAGAGGGTCCAGATGAAAGAAATCAGTAACAAAGAAGAAAAAGTTTATGTCTTCACCAGGAGGAAATGGTAGCAAAAGATGAGCAGCTCTGTGGGGTGCCCTGGATCTCCCCAAAACAGTGTAAACATTGCCTTGGATCTGGAGATCATCCTGCCTGCCTGTCTAGTAGCCTCCTTTGTTTCACATCACCCCCTCTTCCCCAAAATGCAGCAGTGTGAAGATGGTACCTAGATTTGCCCAGGAAAGGATGGATTACAGCTTCCTTCCATGCCCAACCAACCTGCACCAACTGCACCAACTATCTGATCCAGCCGCAGCATGAAGTCTGCAGCCACGAGCAAACCTTTTTAGGAGCCTGCCCTCCGGTGTGAAGTTCCCAGTGCAGGGCAGTTTCAGGCTTCTTTGGAAAAGTCTTACATAGCTTTGATACTTTTGGGCACCAGGACTGAGGGCTTAACAAGCCCTGCTTGGCGGAAAGGTCTCTGCATAGCATAGTCAGTCAGGACTGTTTATTCCCCATCAATAGCAACGTGACAGAGATCTCAAGGACTGAGAGCTGTAATCTTGAAGCCGAAACAAGCAGCGAGAACAGAGCAGCTCTGAGAGAACACGGAACTCCTTTTCCAGCAAATGTAACTGATAATTAACACCCCAAGAGGAACGACGACATGGAGAGAAGCAGGGACAATGGTGGGGAGGCCTCGGCAGATGGGAGGGAGGGTTCGTATATCACGTTTTCTGCAGGGGTTCCTTATGGATGTGTGGGCCTTCCCCTGCCCCAGCTGCAATGAGGAGGAGCAGGAGGACAGTTTGAACGCTCAGAGACTGTTTGAGCTGAGGCAGCCCATATTTTTCATTTCAGGCAAGTGTAGGCAAGGGAATTTCCCATGCTGGAAGTCCGATTTTCCTTTTGAACCTGCAGCTTCCCCCATACACAAGGCACTGGTGGCAGCTGCTACAAGCACTTTGCATTAGGCACCTATGAGAAGCTGTAGGTAGAAGTTCCTCTCCCATGGCCTCTCCAGTCTGTGCATCCTGGGCATGATATGAGTGGCTTCATCCATCAGCATCAATTTGGGTTTTTCCATTTGAGCACATTAGGTAGCAAAGCTTGAAAATTGTTAATGCTTCAAGTAAGGGCAGCAGCTGAGATAAAGTGATAGGTCTCCTTTATGTGGGAAATCCTTATATTTTCATCAGAGCTTGTACATCTAGTCTTCCAAGGTAGCTGCTTAATGGAGTGAGGAAGGATTTTCCTTCCTACGTGTCCCTGTATGTGAGGAAACTCTCTGCGTCAGCAGGCTCAAGAGAACAGCACACAGAACGTCTGAGATGCCATTTGGACAAACAAGTGGTGATAACAGGTCTGTGGGCTCTAAGCAAAGAGGGGAGATGAGAAAAGTGGTTTTCTCATTGGAAGACAGGAGGGCAGGAAGCGATCTAGTAATCTAGATCAATGTGAAAGACAGATGTACTATCCTAGGCTGCTGAGATGATTTAAACAGAGGCTTGAATGTAAGCCAGGCATTAAATAGCCAACTCAGAACTAGCAGACAGAAAAGGGAATAGAATTACAGAATAAAGTGTCTAGCCCTGGCAGTGCCCTCATCATTGTAGACCCTATCTGCATGGGTGCTTGGAATCTATTTTTAATGCTTTGCGCAGCTGCATAACACCAGTGTGATACTCTCAGATGATTTCCTGTATAGCACAGGTAATCCTATATGATCTTGGCCATTTGAATTAGGTAGGTATTGAAGGTAAAACTGGCAAGTTTCCAGTATGAGCCTAGTAGACTATATGACACCTGTAATGACTAGGGGCAATTGAGGTAACCTGGGATAATTCAACAAAAGACTACTTTTATTTTTCAAACTGGGTCAAGGTAATGGAGTCTATGAAAATATGTAATTATAATAACAGGAAACAAATTAAAGCAAGGTTACAGAGGGCAGATGAGTTCTGTTACAAATTCTGTAGGCACTGTGAAACCAAGAAGCCTGTCATGTCTGAACACCTCTGGAAGCGATTATGCCATGCCTTTCTGTGCTTTGGTCTCTGGTCCTGGATGGCTGACTTGTCTGAGATCTTTGATTAACACTGGAGTGGAAAGTGAAGCTTAGTTTGAAAAGCAGCACAGCAAATGAGGCTGGCACTGTCACAGACTGTGCCTGTATCACATGCTTTCTTCAATGGTCTGTATGCAGCCACAGTTCCTTGCACAGGTGAATGCTCAGCCCAGTTCTTTTTGCCCATGTTCTTTTTGCGAAGTGAATAAGGTATTGTATTGATGCAGCTTCCTGAAGAACTGGCACAAACACATAGTGTCAGTTTGTTTGGTCTCATCCTCTGTTTACCTTCATGGGTGTAAATTGAAAGCTGCTCTTTACAACTTAGTGGACGTTATGTCAGTGAGAAAATGATGCGAGAGAAAATTTGGGTTTGTTCAGTGCAGCATGGCCATAAGCCCACTGAAACAACTATTTTGAACCAATGAGCAGTAAATCTCCTTTGCCACCACTGCTGTGTAGTCCTTTGAAACTGTGGAGGGCAGTCATGGCCCTTTTACTGTCTGCATATTGCATTCTACCATTAAATGGGTCTTTTTATTCCAAAAAATGGAGTGTGTTCTGCTCCTGTTGGAAGTACAGAGGCAGGCAATGTTTTCCAAGCAAGGTTAACTGCCATATTACCTTATTGGGTGAAAACATCCTTGCAAGCCCGTACAACCACACATTAACCTACTTACTTTATAAGTCAGTTCACAAAACTCTTTTAACTGGAGATGATAGACACAATTTAGCTCTTTAGCATCACTTACCTGCATCCCGATCACGGCGTAGATGAAGAACAACATCACTATTAAAAGAGCCACATAGGGGAGGGCCTAGAAATGAAAAAAAAAAAAGAAAGAAAAAGGAAAAGAGAGAGAACACTGCGTCTCCACCGAGCCCAGCACACGGGAGCCTGGCCCATGCTCCTGGCTTTGGGAAACTGAGCAGAAGCTGTAATTTGGCCAAGTGGCCACTAGATGCCTCCCCAAGCCCACATTTGCTTGTCCTTCTCTCAAGCAGGCTCTGACTCTGCTCCCTCTCGTCATGATGCAGCTCTGCTGCTTTCAAGTCAGTCCTGCCCTTGACGGAGAAAGGAAAGAGAGGAAAAAACAGTGTCTACAGCTGCTTACCAATAGGAGAAAACTATCACAACATGTATTATTCTGGCACTAATGGCAATGTGTTTTTTAATGGATCTAGTCTGGTGAAACAACACAACAGCTGCCAAGATTCGAATTCAAGGCTTCCACTACAATGGCTGGTACAATCCGAAGGATGTAAAGCAGCAACAGCTTTGTTCCCTGTTCAGTGTTAGGTGTCTCTGATGCTGTCTGCAATTCACTTAAGTGTCTGTGATCAGGTGCTGAAGAGGAAATGCAGAGCCCTGATATGCACAGCTGCCTCATAAGGAAGTGGCCGGCACAACTAGCAAAGTGTTGAGTGCTGTCTGTTTCCTCTGTCTGCCACTAGCAGGGATCAAGGGCACAGCTTGGGACCTCACAGGCTCAGGCTTTTGAGGAGGAATTTTCTACTCTGTTGCCTTTGAAATATATAGTGCTCAGACCAGAGATTTCCAGACTTCAGAGGCAATGGGCAGACACATTCATCCTTAAAATGTGAGGAAAGTCCCTGATCAGGATTTTCAACACCCCATTTCACAAAGTATAAAAAGCCTACAACATTATTATTTTTAAAATATAAGATTATTCACACACTTTAAGTTTATGCCTAAATTCAAGAGAGCTAAATCCTATAGGAAGAATCAAGGCAAAATTGTCACTGTCCACTATGGAGATTTGACTAAAATCTGCAGAAATTGATAGGACAAGGGGTAACGGGTTAAAACTTAAACAGGGGAAGTTTAGACTGGATATAAGGAGGAAATTCTTTCCTGTTAGGGTGGTGAGGCACTGGAATAGGTTGCCCAGGGAGGTTGTGAATGCTCCATCCCTGGCAGTGTTTAAGATCAGGTTGGACAAGGCCTTGGATGATATGATTTAGCGTGAGGTGTCCCTGCCTATGGCAGGGGGGTTAGAACTACATGATCTTAAGGTCCTTTCCAACCCTAACTATTCTATGATTCTAAATAATCTCAAAGAGGGCTGAATATTAAAATGGCAAAAATTCAGCTCTTGAAAGAATGTCACATTGAGGCTCAAGAGGAGATTCTTCTGTGTTTTATGAGGTCTGACAAATCTGTATGGTTACCCCACAATGCAGTGGAGATACACCAGCTCCGAACTGGGCTCCAAACATTCTGTGGTCCAGATAGGACAGGAGGTGCATAACCTTACCAGTTAGCCTGTCTTTAAAATGGGGATGGGAAAAGTGTCCTCTCCTGGCCCTCTAGGCCTCCACTTTCTTTCTGTGTTCTGCTCTGCCTATTCCTCTCCACTGGTGCACCTTCCTACTCATCTCTACCCCTTACTCCCCACAGCTCCTTCAGCTCCGCACCTCCCATATTCCACTCTCCTTGCTCTGTCCTCCTCTGCCTCCATCCTTCCTTGGCTACCACTTTGTCCTTGTGATTCCCACGGCCTTGCCTTGCCCTCAGCACCCCTCTTACTTCCTACTCCTCCCACCCGCCTGCGTGAGCCCTGTCGCTGTCTCTGCAGGAGGAAACCCCGCTGAGCATTTTCCCACCACCCGCTCCTCTGACCGGTGCCCCAACTTGTAAGCACTGTGCGCCATTCATGGGCCACGTGGTAGTTGCAATGGGATGTGAACTCTAGCAGCAGTTCATTGCTTATTCGGCTGCCCTGTGTGAGCAGACGCTTCCTGGAAGCATGTGAGGACACAGAGAAGAACTTGTGCCAGACAGAGTCTGCAGGGATCCCAGATTTTGACAGTGGGAGTGGCTGAGTAAAGAGCTCTGCACAGTGGCTATTCATAGCTACCAAAGAAGCCTCCCAGTAGTTGCAAGAGGAGGAGCTCTGGGCAGAGACTACCATGTTATAAATGGCTAAAAGCTTCCAATGGAAGCACTTGCTTGCAGTGCTTAGTCTTCCCCCCTCCCTGCTGTGGAAGATGCCTCCCTTGATACTTTCTCCCATCACCCTACAACCCTGCCTAAAAGCAACTCTCCAATCAAAGAGGTCTGGAGGTCACTGGAGGGAAGTACCAGGAACTCCCTTTCCCATCCATCTCATCCTCTGCAGCCAAGGGCTGTGGCAAGCTGAGCTCAGAATAAGAGTGAGCTATTGCTAAAGAGGTTGGAGGGGCAAGGGCGAAGGGGGGGAGAAGCAGGAACTGGAAAGTGTGACTCTGTCCCCTGCATGAGGGATGGTTGAGCTATGCCAAGGGAATATCATTTCTATGCATGCAGACAAAACGGTTCTCACTGGAGCTGCTCAAATAACAACCTGGAAGTTAGCAACTGTGTAAGCAATGGAAAAAGTCATTTGTAGTATGGATATGTCAGAAAAGTGCTGTGCCATATTAGATCCTCTGGCAGTCAAGGAGTGTGCAAAATGAGAGTCCTCTGCATGAGCCTCGTGGTCTGGCTACCAAGACCACCTGAGAGATGCAGTGGAAAAGGTCCAGATTGATCCCTGGTGTACACGTACAACTTCTGCTGACAGACAGAATTTGTGCTGATCCACAGCACTGCACGCTTTGGTCCCAGCTTGTGTTGCAGTTGGTTAGGTTTAAGTTTTAAAATGTGGATCAGCTACTTTCCCATTTGAGTCAATACAAATGCTATCAACCATTTAAAGGCTCAGTCTGAGGGATATATGGTCGCTGTTTCAAGACTTAATATGTTGCACGTTACTCTTTCATGATTTTATCCGGTGGTGTGTCCTGCATCTTTTCTCGTATTTTGACCACCATTTGCATTCCTATGCTATCTTTCCCTGATGCTTCCTTCGGACCTGCCCCAGCTAACATCCAGGTTGTGCTGGCCCAGTAAATCCAGGTCAAGTACTTGTAAAATGAAAGAATATGCTATGTTTAACCTGTAACTACCATTTTTCTATACATGGCTAGGTTAGGGGCTGGTATGGAAGCAGTTTTTCTAGCAAATGGCTATCTCTTGGTGTTTCTTTTACCCCAGAGGTGATGATTCGTATCCAGTCTGGTCTCCTTTGTCTTCCCCTATCTATTCTCACACTTTACGTATCACTGAAATGACACCTGCCTCCAGGGAAAAATCACCAATTTAATAACTTTGCATCTTTTCCAGGGCCAAAAAGGTGAAATTCTTCTGGATGAAAGCATGGGGGCCACACACCTCTAATACTCACTGGAAATCATCAGAACAATGCTTAAATAAAACCTAATGGAGACCCAGGCCTTCCCCATAGCTGTGCATTTCACTTAAAACAACAAATATAAAATACAGCTAAAATAGAAAAAAAGAAAGAAAGAGGAGATTGAAGGGTTGCAGGCAGGTGGTGACTGAGTTGAACTGAACTATCAAGGCTGTTCAGGAAGGTCTCAAGTAATTACTCATTCTTTAAAGATTGAATTCATACCGGGCAGTCATTCTCTGCAAGCCCCGTTTACTTGACTGTCATTCGTGCAACCTGTCACTGGTGCACACAGCTCTGACCAGCAGCCTTTGAGTTTAGGGACTTGGGTGAAATCCCTCTCCGAGAGGTCACCAAGGGGAAATAAAAAGGAATTAGGTCTTACTTAGAGATAAGTGAAAGAATACCTGGAAGGATTTGATGAAGGTCCAAAGCAGCGTCCGGATGCCCTCCCCTCGGCTCAGGAGCTTCACAAGACGCATCACGCGGAAGAGTCGGAAGAAGGTGATTGAGATGCGAGAGTTTTCCTCTGCGTTCTGGAAGCCATTGGCACAGAGGCAGGAGTTACAACAGCACAGGAGGAATGGGGGCCCTGGGCCACAGAGGATGCTACGCCAAGAGCTCACTGCACTGTTCCTTGTCCTGATACCGCTCCCTGGGCTTGCACTGCCCCGGCACCCCAGAGGTGGGCTGAGGCTGGTCAAGCCTGCCCTCTCTCCCAGGGCGGTGAGCTACTCTGTGGGGGCTTTTGAGGCCATCAGCCTCTCCCTTTATATTGCCTGGACTTTTGGGGATTAAGGATATGTTATGCTATAAAACTCCCTATTACATTTCCTGCTCACATTGGAAAGATGCAATTCTCCTTTGTCATTGTACTGGAGGAGAAAGATACTTTCTCTTTTGATCTGTCTCAGATGTTTTACCCAGCAAACACACCAGCCAGCAGTTCTGGAGAATCTGATGCTGGGCATCAGCCATGTGCTGCTTGCTCTAGGGGAAACAGTAGCAGGTCCCAGGTCTGCTCTGGGGTGCAAAACCCCGTGGGGGCACAGCATGAGCTGTCCCTTGCTCAGCTGTTGGCACCGCTGGCAGCTTCACTATCGCTGTGCTGCTGCTGTGGCCATGCTTCAGGGGGCTGGCTGGACCATGGTCGCTTGTTCTGCTGCTGTGCGTTCGGGCCTTTTGCATTTCTCATGACCCCTTTGTATTTCCCACAGTCTGCGCACTGACTTTTGTTTTTCTAAAGACATTTTATTTTGGCTTCACTGCTACTGTTCAAGGAGCAGCATTTTAAAATAGTCTTTCCTCTGGCCTGTTTTTTATTCCCAGCATCTGCTTTGTCCCTACGCATTTTCCCTTGGGCTTGCGACCAGCTCTGACATTCCTCAGCCTCCATGTGTGTGAAGGCAACATCTGTCTGAGTGCTGCCATGGCAGCAGGCTCACCTGGGCCTCAGTGAAGAGGCTTCCCAGCTCGAGTGGAGTGAGGCACAGAAAACGCTGTGTTTACCAGTTCATTAACCCCCTAAAATACTGTGTGAAGCCTGTGGAGCCAGTGGTTTCCAGTAGCAGCACTGTGGGAATGTGACCTCATGTCACAGGGGCAGATAATAGTGTCACCCTGCCACTTGACCTGCCATGGAGCAAAGTGCGCAGAAACCCCCTCTCTGTCTCCACCCAGGCTGCAAAGGCCACAGTTTTGAGTCTAAATGCCACTGAAAGAGCAACATTTAGGAGGAAGAAACAGTGCAGATCACCCCGCTGTTAACTACTCACCACTGTGTAAACCAAGAGAGAACAGACCCTTGGGATTTCCTGTCATCAGGCAGTGAAAACAGCAGCTGCTTGCCTGTCCACTCCTGATAAAACCCCAAGCATAGAGTTGCCCAGATGGGATTAAATGACCAGATGAGGATGTGTACCTTGCGCTGTACGTGCTCCTGTTTCCAACCCAGGATGGGCAGGTTAGTGCTGAGCTCTGTCGGCCCCGGCAGCCATGGGGGTACACAGGGTCAGTAGCTGCTTGCTAGTGTTTGTGAACTCTGCTTGCACTATGTGCAGGAGTTCACAATTACACCCCAGCTGCAGTTTGTCTGTCTACCTGTGGTGTGGATCACTGGTGGATGTTTTGGGTAGCCTCCTCCAGTCTGCAGCAAAGGCTCACTGCCTGTTTGCTGCCCATGCAGTAACCAGGTGAAAAAGGTTAGGGGAACAGGCTGTGTCAAGGAGAAGCCTGACTGCTCCCTACCTCTCACATCACTCTCATTTTCTGACTTGGACAACAGGCTGGGGGCTTCAGTGAATTGGAGGAAATTATTTTGAGGTGAAGGAGGGAATGTGGCCTCCAAGAAACCAAAAGTCATAGCATTCAATTCTCTCAACACTGCAGTCCCAGAGGGCTAATTATAAGGTCACACAACTCTCCCAGTCCTACATAAGTCCTATGGCCTCCCTTCCACTTTCTCTAAGAAGGTAAATTCCAATGCCACATAAAAAAGAGTTGAGATCCAAATTTAGAAGTTGGGTGGACAAGCTGTACTGCTGTGGTTGTGACCTAAGACCCCCCCAAAAAGTATTTTCTTATTCTACATGCTGCTGCTCTTGTCAGCTTGGCCCTTTGGATGGCAGCACTCTGGGATGCGGGTCTGGACAGAGGTTTCAGCATTCCTTCAACTTTGCTTGCTGAGAAGAGGCAGCTACTGTAGGCAGAAAATTATCCCCGTCTATCTAGTGTCATGGAGTAGGCAAAGGCCAAAGAGCAGATAAAATAGAACAAATTCCTCCCTGACGCACATCTGCAGTTTACTGGCATCAAACCACTCAGCCAAAACCATTCAGTGATGCCTCAGGAGATTACAGTCATTTTAAGACTAGGTGGCTACAGATTAGCTGGTGCTTGAGTAGCCCTGCTTGCTTTCTCCTGATTTTCATCCAGCTTTCTGAAGACTTAGCTTTGCCAGAGGAGGGAGGTTCTGCAAAATGGCAATCAATCAAGAGGCTGGAGTTACTGCAGCTCTGCTGGGGTGCTATGGGAACTGTCTTGTACACCAAGGCAGCTGAGTTTGTGTGCACCACTGCACGACTTCTTTTATGCAAAGTACGAACTCCAGTGTTACAGTGAGTCATCTCCCTGCAGAGGAACTTCAGAGTCCCAATCCTTTCTAGTTTGGAGGCCTGGACATGAAGTCACATTGCAAACTCATTCAGCATCACATTGATAGTGACATAGGTTCTTGCTAACAAGAAATCTTACCAGGTCTAGTTCTCTCTTGGTGGTTCATTAGAAGGCAGAACGACAGTTAACTTGACCAAAGGAAAGCTCAGGATGCACAAGAAATACACATGTGCAGCATATTCACAGCTCATGTGAACACCAGACTCACACCAATACATGACATGGCAGCTTCATGCACAAATAACTAGGCTGGGCTTGGAGAGAGAACTCGTGATCACGGAGAAGAGAATAAAGGAGTGTGTTAGAAAGAGTGTCACAGAAGCTGGGAGGGTGGTCTGTATTTTCGGTCTTACCATAGAGGAAGAGCATTGGGTATGTTCAGCTGGCTTTAAAGAAAGGCAGACAGAAATAAGCTGTAATAAATCTCCAATCAAGAGCCCTAGTAAACTAGGTCTTGGCTAACACAGGAGCAACAAAATGGTAGAAGAGGGCAAATGGGAGTTTGAAAGAAATGCACAAGAGGCTGGGCTAATTCCCTAGGATCAAAGCTGGCCATGGAAGAAGTGGCTCCAACTCCCACTGGATTTGATGGAAGCTGTATCCACTACCACCACATGTGGATTGCACCTAGTATCTCTTGCGTGCTAGACATCCTGGTATCCAGGCAGTGGAGGCATGGATATTGTTAAAATGTTTCTTGTGTCACTACCATCAAGTTCAATACAAGGGCTGATTTAGCTCCCCAGCTCAGATCCAGGCCATGTCTGCACAGGGACCAGCCAGCTTCTAGTGCATCAGTCTGATTTATAAGCCCATAATACCCCAGCGCTAAAGCAATGCTATTTATATATCCCCATTCCTTTACATGTAATTCTGGGTTGGGACAGTCTAATCGACAATTGGCAACCCTACAACACCCACCACCAGCTGTGGAAAGTGGATTGGTAATGCTGGTTATCTTTCTGTACCTTCACCCGCCTCACAGCAAAGCTCCAGGGACCCAGTGGATGTTTCCCGGGAAGCCAAGCTGAGCTGAGCCCTGGTCATGCCTGGAAGAGTCTAGTTGCTGCAAACACTCAACCTGATGTTCCTTGATTAACTTCTGGGGCCATATCCAATACTGAGAACAATTCTAAAATCACCAAGGCTGCAAATACCCTTAGGTGTAAGAAGCAGAATTGAAAATTAAATAAAACCAGCTTTATCAGGAGTCCTTCATTTCAATAGCAAAATACTCGTTCAGCCTAACCTCTACCATATGACAAACCTGTCTGTTATTACTTCCTGTGATCACATTAGCAAAGCTGAAACTGATGTATTTGTTCTGCAATGGCAGAATTTAGCTCTAGTGCCACAGAGGGCTCCTGCAGTGTGCTCCTGCTCTCCAAGGACAGTGCAGTAACCAAAATGGGTATTGTATTACCTAAATAAAACCTAGTTTGGATGCACAGCCTATTTGGTGATACAGGCAAATGAGAACAATTGAAAACCCAAGGTACACCTAATCGTGTAACAGTCTTTTGGGTTAACACATTGGTTTGGTAGTGCCAGATTTCATTGCTTTTATCCTCCTCTTTCATGTGTTTGCTCTTGTGTTTTCAGATCACATACAGGCAAAACTTGACTTGAATACCAAATAAAGGAGCGGTGCCCACAGAGACATTTCTTACAGACCAGGCATAGATTTTGATTTTGTGTTGCTGGGCAAACATCTCCTTTCCAGCAGTTTCTCTGTCCCATCCCCCTTCCTCTTTCTAGTTTTGCAAATCATCTTTTCTAGCGATAGAAGGACCTTTATTCTGCTAGTTGCTGTGTTCCTGATAGAGGGTACAAAGCCCCTTCAAACTCACTGAAGGAAGCCCAAAAACTTTCAGCACCTTTCATGATTCTCCATCCTTCCTGGCTGACAGTGCAGGTGTATCTGTGACTGACTGGCTGAAGAGGCCATGTAAGTTACCGTGGAACATTATACCTTAATTGTCATTTTGATATTGTTAGTATTTAATCAGAAAATGCGGATATCAGTAACATAACAGAGTATAAAAATCTGTATAAAAAGATATGACTATATAAGCCACTGTTGATATGGGATGCTCAACTTGAAGGACTTGGCATCACCTTGAAAAGCTAGAAACCAAATGTTCTGAGCATCTTTGGCACTTCTAAGAAAGTGAAGTAGAGGTTGATTTACTCCTCTCTCATTCCCTGAGTTACCTGGCTTGTGTTTTAAGATGGGGTCAAATAGCACATTATATCGCTACTTACAGTAAAGGCTAAAAAGCAGCACAGGAAAGTTTCTGTTAATGCTGGCAAGTGGCAATTGTTTGAACTGTAGCACTGTGGGCTGAGGTTCCTGATATGCTTGTGCATACTGTAGTTTGTGCATGAGTATATGAGGGGGAAATCAACCCCCAGGTGTGGGTTGCTGAATACATTTTCTGATGTCCAGAAAGGTTTCATAGAGGAGCCAAATACTACCATTTTCCACTTGTGCTTAAAGGTCACCATATGGACCTGAGCACAGATACCTGAGAACCTGTTACTGTGACTTTGAAGTGTGGCCATTCCTAACTATAGAGCAGAGAGAGTTATTTCTAGATTTTCTAAGAATCTTCAACCTTGCAAGTGATGTGAGTATGCCAATTTTAGGACAAGGACAGGCACTCAGCACCTGAGAATGTAGAAGTCACATCAGTTCACAAGGATGGAGGCATAGTGATGGGTAGGGGGGTGGGAACTAGATGATCTTAAGGTCCTTTCCAACCCTAACGATTCTATGATTCTATGATAATTAAAGCCAGTGTCAGGATTTAATTTCTACAAACCTCAGAACAATGTGTAAAAGCAAATCCTCATCTGTTTGGTGTCTTTGAAAGACTGTTTGGAGAAGCTATGCCTCTTAACAGAAGGTGGCCTTCGCTGTACCCTGTTTTATTTGCAGCCATCTCTTCTGCATGTGTTATAACCTGCAAAGAAACTTCAAGTATCCTACCCTGCTCTTGTTGTTTGGGGCACAAGTAGCATGCACGTAACTGAATCAGAAAGGGAAACAACAGTAACAGTGAGATCAGTCAGGAGATGCTGCTCTGTGCAATTTCCATCATACAAGATGGACCTGAAGCATAAATCGCAAACAAGTCCAGGGATATATTAAGAGTGATGTAGAATGAAGCCTGCTCAAAGTGGGAAGAGAAATACCTGAGGCAGGATGCTTCTGTGCAAAGACACTAAATGGGAATGAAGGCAGTGAAAGTGCTTGGGCAATTTATTTATGTATTTTCTTTTGATGTCACCATATTTAAAAAGGTAATAGAGACACTAAGGAGCAGAAGAGGTCAAGAAACAGAAAAGCCAATTCTAGAAGCCAAAGTAAAGATTCAGTAGGATAAAGACTGAGGGAACCCTGAAGCACGTCTGAAAAGCTCCCTGGAATATTGTTGCCTGCGTATTTTCTCATTTAACTATGTTAAATGTGTACCAGAGCACCAACATTTTAAACAGACACATTGCTTTAATCTGTGTGCGTCCTTGAAGTCCCTACAGGCACAAAAGTGAAAGGCACAGTTTATACCCATCATGAATTCAGGATCCCAGGTAAGGAAGTCTCTGGGAAAGAAGACAGGTTTGTTCATTAGAGAGATACTTAAATGAGATACTGAAATGATGGCATGGGCAGGTGGCATTCCCATTACCAGCACGGTGATGGTAGTAATTTTTTTTTACACCACAGGACACACTGAAGATGATGATGAGTTCGGCTCCTTCAGTGGATCCAGTCTTTGCTAGGAAGTCCAAATGGATTTTTGTCTGATGTTTGAGGAGTAAAACTTCCTTGCTGATAACTTTTTTACCTTCCAACAAGGTTTCTTCCATCCAATGGGAGGAATCTCCTTTTGCAAGACAGAATTCAACCTTTATGTTGTGACGAACTTTGGCCTGGCTTGATCTGGGCAACATTTAAGCAGCCAAATGCTCAGTGTTGTTATTGCTTTGTAAGTCAGGCTTGTCTTAGCCAATGCAGTGGTACAATGGCAGCCTTCTAATTTTGCCTGTTAGCCCTAGGTTTGAAAAGATATAAGGAAATCTCTGAGACTTTGGCACCATGATATGACAGAGTATCTTCATATTTCTCAAGAAAACAAATTATCAGATGCTTGTGTTGCCTTTTGTGACGAACAATCCATAATGGCATATCTCCACTAAGGAAAATATGGTTTGTGGATGAAGATCTTTGGAGACCACTTGCAGTAGTTGGTTGTTGGTGATGGATGTCTGCTATTTCCTTGATAGCTGTTGACATTTGGAGAATGAAGCTACCTATGAGTATTCCTTATCTGCTGGAAACTTGTCCATTAGTCTGTTAGCCTTATTCCATGAGGAAAGGGGTGACAGGTGCTGCCTTCTTGCCTTTTTCTACTCATTGCTGGAAGGATGCTTCTGAGAATCTGCACTGTGGATTTCGCCTGAGCAGAGCAGGCTGCAGGGCTGTGTAGCTCCTTTTCAGTTCTAGAATATCAGTCTTTTCTAGCTCAAGTTCTTTGTATCTAGAGGTCATCCAAGAGTCCTGCCTACGTTAACCATGCTGCATCTGTGACCTTCTCGGACACAAAATGAAGGGTGAAAAGAACCACTCAGTGAAAATGAACTCATTGTACAAACACAGATAAGATTTTGAGGGAGATTAAAAGCATTTCCATTGAGTGATACCTGATGAGCAACAGTGATTTGGTTTTGTTGCTACAGGGAGTGAGAAAGAACTGAAGGGCTGTTTCAGCTGCTTGGCCACTGCTGGATGTAGAGCGCACGAATAGGGCAGCAGCAAGCCCACAACATTACTGTTCTGGAGATTTTTCTTTCACACATGTGGATCATACTAGGATGGGATCTGTAAGGACCCGAGCTTCAAGAACAAGAATTTACCACTGTGTAAGAGAAAAAGAGATTTAGAATTTATCAGTGCCATAGAGACATGATAAAAGAGAAGACATGACTCTCCCCTGTCGAAAGTCTAAAGTGACCTCAAGAGGCTAGCTGAGTAACACAAGTCTTTGTGGAGAGCTGGAAAAAGTCAGGGTTTCAAATCAACCTGGCTGCTGGCAGGTAATAGTCTGCTGTTACGCTGGGGAGTTACCACAACCCCTTCCAGACTCATCTGTCTGCCACTGCTGTGTGTGGTTTTAATCACAAGAACTCTAGAGATCATCCACCTGCCACCAAAGTCTGTGAAGTTATTGTAAAAGCAGGCAGAAATGTATCTGCTGTTTCTCTGACAGGGAATACTGCTGGATTGCAGATAGCACAGTTCAAATTCCCCTAACCTTATGGTGAAATCAAACTATTAGCAGGATAACAATAACAATAGTAATAATAGCCAGAGAAGTTGCTC